CAGAGGCCGGGCGGCGGCACCCGCGGGCCCTCAGCTCACCCCCTGCCGCCAGCAAAACCACACCGCTGCTCCCAGGCACTACCGAAACCCCCAACACTCGGCGCGGTGCAGTGTACCTCTCGCCTAAGAGGGGGAGGAATAAGCTAGGACCCCCCCGGGATTCCTGCAAAAATGCTCATCTTGGCAGAAATCCTGTCAATTGAGACAACGCTGCTGCAGATACATACTGCTTCTACTCCGAGGTTGCCATCAATTGGAATTTCCTGTGGCAGGGGTTTTGAATAATCAGCCTTTTGGATTTGCAGTATTTCTCTCTAAAGGCAGTTTTTAGGTAGAGCTCTCCCATGCATTCTACCTCTGAGCAGCAGCAAATGTCCACAAAATGCTTGTCACCAAACCTACGCTCAGCTGTGGCTGAACCTGAGACCACCCTGTCCCCAGGCAGTACAATCCTAGAATGTCTTCTGAAATGGGAAAGCTTACAGGCAACTGAGGCCTCAGGAACTTTGCCTGTGAAACTTGTTCTCTAGAAACTCAACAGTTTTTAACATCACTGCAGGGCAATTTACTTTTGTGTACTACAAGAGCTTATTTACTATGCAGCTGATCGACCCCATTTACACTGAATTCGAAGTTTGAATGAGTGAAGAGTTTCAACATTCCTTCCAGAAGGATTTAACACACTGTACTTCAATACAAAATAATCATACACTACCAGACGCATGCAATTCGGACAAGGTTTGTTTGTAATTCAAGTGTATAGGCCCTCGCACATTGCAGTAGTGTATCATTCCAGAAAAAAGTTGGTTTGAACAAGCTAAAATATTCAATCAACCTGAAAAAGTAATGTTAGAAAGCAAACAAATCCAAATAAACAAAGAGAAAATGCCTCTGTTATAAGCTATTTAAGCACGTTAAATACCCTTCTTGCTGATCTTAAAATTATTTTCTGAAGGGTATTAGGAACTTCCCCCCACCCGCTTCCACACCCTACCCCAAAAGTAACTAGCTCCCATCCTCCCAAAAACAGCCCCGACATCTTCTCTATACTACGCACCTTATTCAGTCTACGGTATTTCTGCTAGAAGCAAAAGAAAACAGTTATTTTTACTTAGTACAGCTCGCTTTCATTTGCAGTGACTATCAGGCAACCATTTTTACTTAAAAAAAAAAAAAAAAAAAAATAGAAAATAGGAACCTGTCTTCATTCCCACTAAAAACAGGACTTTGAAGGTAGGACGTAATCAAGTTCCTGCTGATACTCTGAGGATGCACAAATTTAATAATTACACCTTGCTTTAATCAGAAACATATATTTAATCAGTTTGTTAGAACAGAAAGCTAGACAAGCAAAATTTCCCCCTTATGCTTAACAACCCACCCCATTAAACTGTAAGTAATAAATTGCAATTTAAAGTTACTCTGCTAATACGGGGATGAAGAAGGTAGAAAAAAAAAAAAGGATATTAATATAGCAGATAGAAATGGTTAACTTGGGAGTTTTGCATCTTTTCCCCTTAAAACTACTTTGTTTTTAATAAAATAACCCATCCTCTCACCTGTGAGGATCGTCTTCCTTTCCTCTTGTAGTCTTCCACTTCTCTCTCTTCCTTAATAGCAGCCATTTTGGAAGGGTACTCTAACTCAGCCTTTCTTTTAGATCTAGGAAACCTAGAAAACAGGTTGGATAAGTCAGTACTTACCCCAGTTCCTGTGACACAGGGCCTTCTCTGGGTGCAATGCACAGGTGTGGCTTTACAGGAAGAAACGGGTTAAAGTAAAAAAAAAAACCAAAAAAAACCTCCCTAAAGTATTTAAATGGGTAGAATAAAAAGCCTCAGCCTACATAGATAAAGATTAAAAAGAGCAGCAAAAGAAACATCTGCTATCCCTATCAAGCTCACTTCACAAACTAATGCTAAAATCTGTAGCAAACCTGTATCTATTACTGTCTGACAAAACTAACGTGAATACAACTGATACACAGCAAGCAAATTCCACCTTTGATACCCAAACCCACTAAATAAATTCTGTTTCTCTGGACTTTTAACCCCCAAAACATTTAATTTTGCCAATACTTCTTATTAGTTACTGCTTACTAGTTATTGCTGCTTATTTCTGATATGTAATCTCTTGTAGTCAGGTATCCAGAAGCACGGAACACTAGAGAATGTTCCTGTATTAAAAAAATACTTTCCACTGTGAGTAATCCAAGAACCCCTTACTGATGCTACCTTTGCAATACCAAGAACTGCTGATCCTCAGCAGTGTGCAGAACTAAGCATCTACATTACTTTTGCTCCCACATGATCTATTTGATTACTGATTTGTACACTATGTAGTGTATGTGCCACTACAAATAGGAAGTCTTTTACAAGATAAGCTCAGTGAATGAACCCATACGTACACATTCCAACAGAAAGAATTATGTTCCTTTTGGCCTTTTTTCTATAAAATTTTCTAGGATCCTTTAGTTAGTCCTAATATTAATGTACTGGTATCTCTGGCCAATATTCATTACTACTTTGGATGTTGCTTGAAGCTTTACTGCACTAGCCAAAAGGCAATACTGTTAACTACATAACATACTTCAGTAAAACGATACTTGTGCAGCATTTAAAAGCATACATATTCACAAGATTATGTGTATTTCTGTGAGAGGTTTGTTTGTTTGGGTTGTGGGCTTTTTTAAAAAAGTTTTCTTCCTCCAAATTTTGTTCCTGCATATGGAAAGGCAGGCAGGTCTCTACTAATGAGCAATATATGCTGTTACTCAAAGCGGAAATTCTTAAACGTAAGTTCATGTTAAAATCCGGCTTCAAATTAAATGCAACTGTGAAATCACAAGCATCAAAATTAAATGCACTAACAATTGTAAAGGTTTTATTAAGTAAATTTAAAGTTACTTATTATCTTCTGTTCCTCTCTACACAATGCTAAAACCTGCTCTTGAAATCCTTTAAATCAAACATGAGTTTGACTTAAGAGGTATTAGGATATTAAGTACTTTAACTGAGCTGTTCAGTTTTTTAAGTCATATAAGGGAGGTATGAAACAGAACATTAACACTTCAAGGGCTTTTTACAAACTAGCTGTATGGCAAAATAAAGCTTCAGGAATTGTTAGGGAGGAAAGGGATAAGCTTTCCAAAGTAATGGAAAGTAGGAGTCCCCTTCTGAAGGTGCTTTCCCCAGCGAGGCTTCACAATGGCCAACATAATAAAGCTCCTGGGCATGGTCTCTGCCCCAATGGCCTCTGAAGGTTGAGGGTTAAAAAGGGAGTTGTCTTCTTGCTAATGCACACCAGCTCACGTGGAACCCTGCTCAGTCCTATTCCTATTGTGCCTTACAGAAAGGCTGCCAGGACTAAATTTGTTAGTTCTTATCACCAACAAAATATTCTCTTCAACTCGGAATAAAAACATTCGGAATACTTTTGTTATTGCTTGTCAGACTACCATTGAGCAAGTATCTGTTGCAACTCAGCTACAGAACTTAAAAGCAGCCTCCAAGGAAATCTTTGAATTATAATGATAAAGTAGTCACCAGGACATTTCTCATTACTCACAATACTGCTCCATCTCTTACAGGAGAAAAGAAACTAACAAGAGATAAACCAAATATTACCAAGATGGAAGTTCACCCATCCAATCAGAGAATACTATGAAAATGCACTGGTCTTTTCTGTAAGCAATTGCAGTTGGACCTAAAGTGCATACAGTAGGGTCTTCCAGCAAATCTAGAAGTCAAAGCAGTAAAAAATCTAATTCTCAGTTTTAAGTGTGTTAGTAGTGTATTCCCAACACCAACAGGAATGTGTGCCTGGGAAAAACCCCAAGATATTAGCTTTATACCTGATGTGACACGTTTCCAAGCTTTACTGAACCACATTCAAATGCTTTGAACACATCACCCCTCTCAAGCTATTAAACTCCGAAGCAGCTAAAAAAATTGCTTACATGATAAAGTTGTTTTTAGCTGCTTTGGTAAGAGATCCGAACAGAACACGGATAATTTTAATGCACGAACAGAAACTAGTGCGAGCTGTTGGGTTTCTCTGATCTTGATTTTTTAAGGTTTCACCTTTCAGTGAATAAAGTGAGATACAAAATACCACACACACACACAAAAAAAAGAAAAAGAAAGTGCACTATTTTTGCTTGCCATACTCTGAAACACTTGAGCAAAAAGCCCCCCAGGTTCTGAGGAAAAGGCAAGCAAGGGTATCATGACTACTTCCCTCCAAGAAGGGAGAGGATAATTCCTCTAGATTTGTGCAGACTGCTTCGTGCTGCTCACCAGGATTATGGCAGAATGCCACCGAATGTCCTGGGTCTTGCATATGTAATTGTGGGAGAGGAGAAAGGGAAAAGAACTCTATATTCATTTCCCCACCTCCCCGAGCACTAAAGGTTCCTGACACGCTTTAACACCCTCTGGGCAAAGGTGAGAGATATCAGGGAGGTGCTACAAAGTGAAGGAGCATTCCTCTGCTAGATGCAGCGTACTGCACTAAACGATTTTAATGCTTTTAAAAGTGTTCCGAGAAAACGAAGTGTGTTCCGCACTACTTCGGGTAGCTTACGCTGGACGGG